TATGCATCTAAGTTTATTCGCTCAAAAGCACTTATTAGGAACAAATCTACTTTACTTTGTTTTTGCAACGTTTTAAAAGTTTGCTTACGATTCGCTTGACAATTGTGTAGGGAAACGACTATTTTCTGGTAATCTTTGCACTAAACAGCAACAGGCAGACATGAACAGTTGATTTTTTAAGTTATAACAAACATTTTCTATATATTAAATCTTATTTCTTTCCTCTTTCCCTTCGCGCTAACCAGTCGAGGCAGACGTCTGCCCTTCCTGAGCCTGGTTCTGTCGGAGGGTTCTTACAGTTCTTAGGGAGTTTTTTTTTTCTTTCTCACTGTCAGAAAGTGCTCTTACAAAGGAATTAGTTGGATTTCTCTCCATAATATAGTGTTGTAAGGTCTTGACCTTACTGTCTAAAGTGCCCCAAGATGACTTATTCTGTGTTAAAGTGAACATACAGTGAATTATGTCAGCCTTCGACTTCATTGTGGCTGCATTATTCACAGAATAAACGTGTCATTTCAAACACACAAATGCACTTGACCTCACTCTCATTTCTTTTAAAATGAATGTTCAAATGCTACCGGGGGGCTCCTCCACAGACAAAAACCACAGAGCAAGTGAGTGAATGATAATGTTTTTCTTTAAACATCATTCAGAAGGGGGAGCTCTGTTTCCTCCTTCATAAGTTTGTCCTCGTCCAAGTCAAAGGCCGTGAGATAAACAGCGTCACATGCTGTACAGATTGCGAAGCCCTCTGGGACTGACTTGTCTTCATTTTGGCCTTTTTAAATAAACCTGACAGAAGAGAGAGGAAAAAAAAACAGATGATCAAGGATGGAGCTGAAGATGGAGCGTATATAAACCAAAGCGCTGACCCCGTCTTGTCTTTTTTTTCCTTATTTGTTGACATTAGTCGAGCTCATTTCTCAAAGTTAGTGCACTGTTGGAATAATTGATTGTTAAAATTGCTGCATTTCAGAGTTGAGAGGCAGCACATGGTTGTGGTTTTGAGTGTTTATTTTCTGCGTGTTGCTGCCGCCGCCGCTGCCGGTTCGACTGCAGTGTTTCCAGCAGGCCGAGTCCATCCCTCCACGAGCCCATTTGTCTGAACGTGAACTATCCCCCCTGTCAGTTCTTTGGGGGGTTGTAGCGCTGCATGTGTGTGAGCGCAGGATCAACACAGCTGAAAATTGCTGCACGCTCAGAGGCATGCACGCAAAGCATCAACACACACAAACACAACCTCCTAATGACCTTCTCTGTCCAGAGATGCGTGAACGTAGCAGGTTCTCGGCTGCACACAGACACACATTCAGGCTCACAGCTGTACTGCAATTATACACAAACAGTGCAAACTCTGAGGACAAGTAGTGTGGAGCATTGCTATATTTTTATCTCTTAAAGCCTTTTTGGTGTTTATACATGTGTTTTTACTTGATTCTGACAACTACGCTGGTTCGTTCACACTATTTTCAATGTCAGATTATTAAATGGTTACAGCATTCGTATTGTCTTGAGCGTACTTTTGTGGGTTGCAGGTAGATGGACATGCACCCGTAGACATTCACATTTTGGATTTTATGTTTGATTTTTCTTCTTTTTTTCAAACTTTAACAGCCTATTGCATCAACCCGTGAGCTTGCTTGTTGCTCAACGTATTTGTGAGTTTTGGAGCGTCTCAACGAGCTCCTTGGCGACCTACACCCATAACATACTTTTCTGTGGAGATCCCCAGGTGCACCTTTCCAGACATGGGATACATAACAAAATTTCTGGCTTCATTAATCTTTTAAAGAAATGGCCTTCTGTTCTTCAGACATCGGCCACTTTCAGTGTTCCTCACAGCCTCTTTCAGACATACCTACGACACCGACAGAGAGACGTGAGTGATATTAGTGCATCAAGTGATGAATAAATCATACTCAAAAAAAACAGACTCAGTCTAACCAAAAAAATGTTTATCAAACTGGTCAAAAAACTAACAGTCCAGACTCTTTATGATTCTGTCCGTGTATGATATTTTACTACAACCATATCCCAACAGCTTCGTAAATGCACACGACTTTGTCGCTTTGGAGATTTTGCTGCTGTCAAATGCTGCAGCTATTTAATAAACTCCTATAAAAAGCTGGAAACAACGACCTCAACCTCAACTTCTAGACTGCATGTATTCTTGGTGATTCTCGTTAGTCTTATCTGTTACAGACTCTGTCCTCATTTCAGTTAAGTTTTATTTATTGGACATTTAAGTTTGTAACAGATATGAAATTGTAGGAGACAATGAAAGGTGTTTTGTGATTTTTGATTCACAAAATGTGTCTTTTCTGCTCTCTGTGATGTTTTTCGATCAAAGTCGGTGGTGAAATGTGAAAAAGGCTTCCTTGTTTGTTCACACGTATATTCAGAAAATCATGATTTCAGTCAAGACCATGATTAAAGGCATGATTTTAACATTCACAAGATGATATCAACCCAGTCTTAAATGTTCTAGAGATGGTGCGACATCAAACCCAGTCATAGATGTCCTAGAGGTGGCGCTATGTCAATCTAGTCTTAAAAGTTCTAGCTGTAGTATGAAGTCAAACTCAGGCACAAGTCCTAGAGATGGTACAATGTCAAACCCAGTTTTAAATGGTTTGGAGATGGTATGACATCAGCCCAGTCTTATTTACTCTAGAAACAGTATGATGTCAATCCAAGTCTTAAATGTTCTAGAGGTAGTACAATGTCAAACCTAGTCTTAAATGATCTACAGAAGGTAGAACGTTAAACCCGGTCTTAAATGTTCTAGACACTATACGACATCAAACCCAGTCCTAAATGTTCTAGAGATGGTATAACGTCAAGCTGAGTCTTAAGTGTTCTAAATGTAGTCCAATGTCACTCTGCCTTAAATGTTCTTCGGCTGTTACGATGTCTAACCCAGTCCTAAATGCTCTAGAGATGGTGGTACATCAATCCAGTGTCAAATGATCTAGAGACTGTAAGGCATCAAACCCAGTCTTAAATGTTCTGGAGATGGTGCTTCGTCAATCTAGTCTTAAAAGTTCTAGAGGTGGTATAATGTCAAGCCCAGTCTTTAATGTTCTAGAGATGGTGCTACGTCTCTCGAGTCTTAAAGTTCTAGGGTGGTATGACATCAGACTCAGGCATAAGTTCTAGATATGGTGGTACATCAACCCAGTGTCAAATGATCTAGAGACTGTAAGGCATCAAACCCAGTCTTAAATGTTCTGGAGATGGCGCTTCGTCAATCTAGTCTTGAAAGTTCTAGAGGTGGTATAATGTCACGCCCATCTTTAGTCTTCTAGAAATGGTGCTTCGTCAACCTAGTCTTAAAGTTCTAGGGTGGTATGATAGAATAGAATAGAATAGAATAGAACTTTATTGATCCCCTTGGTGGAAACATCAGGGAAATTGCTGATGTCAAACTCAGGCACAAGTTCTAGAGATGGTATACCATCAACCCAGTCTTATTTGTTCTACAACCTAACTGCAGACGGTACAACGTTAAACCCAGTCTTAAATGTTAAACTCTTAACTGTTCTAGTGATAGTACCACGCTGACCTCACTTCTTAGATACACTAGAGATGGTATGACCTCAAGCCAAGTCAAGTTCCAGTCATGGCATTTACAGAACCCTGGTATCAGAACTTACTTAGACATGAGACGGACACCATGTAAACCTACCAGCACTTGTGCTGAGTGTGGGTCCATGTCTGAAAGTGTTTGTTTCCCACTAACACATACACCACGGAGGTAGTAGAGAATAAAATGCCCTTTGCTGTCAGATCGCACCTGAACACGGCCAGCTGCACCGACACACATCTGAAAACACGTTGTGCGCTATAAACAGGCAGACACACATCTGCAGGGGCATAAACAAATACAGAGCCTCCCTTCTGTTACAACATCAGCTGCACTAAATCTACACTCGCACACGCCCAGAGGCATCCAGGTCTTTGTGCCACTTCCCTCAGCTACCTGCATGACAGCCAGTGTATCCTGCTGGTATGAAAGGTAAGCCTCGGAGAGACGGAGCGGAGAATAAATGTGTAAAATGGGTCAGAGCCTGAATATCATTACTGCCCTGCTCCCCATGTGTATGCTTAATGTGTGCGCGCGAGTCTGCATGTGCGAGCGAGACAAGCTGTGATGAATTTGTGTGTGAAAAGGCAAAAAAAAAAAAAAAGTGTGTGTGTGAGCGTGAAAAAAAAAAAAAAAGCGAGTGTGTAGCGGCGTTGCCACTTGGGGCGTTAAGCTCAACTCTCCCGAGTATAAAGACCGGCGTGGGAAGGGACTGAACTTGTGGGTTTGGAGGTGTGTGTGTGTGCACGTCGAGAGGCAGCAGTGTGTGAAGCCATGCCATGGCCCAGTTTTGTGTCCGGCTCAGGAATTGGAAAATACAAAGCGAGAGAGACACACAAAGTTATTTGTATGCAGGCAAGATGGTGGCATTCTCCATATCCATATCCTGCGCTGAGGTAAACCCATGAATATTGTACGAGGCGAGCAAGCGGCGGATCCGGACAGTGTTTACAGGGGGGGAAACTCATCCCCACATATGGATGAGTTGCTGATAAACAGGAGATATTGGTATTAGAGAGTCAGGTGTGTCGGGCAGCCTGCGGCGACAGGAGTGCACCGCCGACACAAATCTCCGCTCGCAGCGACTCCACTTGATACCCGGTAGCTGCCCACGCTGCACACATGTGGTATTGTCATGAAATTGCGCTCGGCGGGTGGGGAGGGGGGTTTAAAAGGAGGGAGGGTCCAATTTGTGCCTCCAAATCAGCGAGTGTATCTCAGCGGGGGATCGACAGGTTTTGTTTTTTTATTTTTTTTTTTACCCGCTTCTATGCATGTTGCTGACACAAACAAGAACAGTAACAGCAAAGCCTCTGTTATCCGTGTCTTGGAAAATGGCGTGTGTTCACCAGGATTTGGGAGGCTTGTGATGTGTAATACTTATTTTCTTTTCTCCCCCCTTTTCTTTCCACAGTCCGTCCCAAAACCCATTGCCCTCGAGCCTTGCTTTGGCAACAAAGCCGCTGTGCTCTCCATCTTTGTTCGGTTACCCAGGGGCACCGGCGGCATCCCTCCTCCAGGACAGTCTGGTAAGACGCAACCCCTGAATCCTTTGCTTGTTTTCTTTCCTGTCTTTTTATTCTTTGATTGTTCTTTTACTTTTTTTTCTTTTTTTTTTACACCAGCTTTCCTTGATCTGAGTTCCTTCCTCTGTTCATGTACTGCAGCTATAGTTATAGTCAGACCGTGACAGGTTTGAGCCTTTTAGCCTCTTCGAACTTCCTTTCCTTTTGTTTTCCCTCATTGGCCTCCTTATAATCCACACTCCAGTACACACAGCAACTCCACTTGTTACTAAATTTAACTGGTGGTGTTGGTCAGTAAGTCACATTTCCGTTTATTGTCCATGGAGGAGGAAAACTGTGTGATACTTTCCAGTTTGTTCAGTTAACAGATAACTTTTAAAAAATCAATAAAACTGCTGCATACTCTGACTCATCCCTTAGTGTTTTTTCGCTGTCAGACCACTGTTGACCCTCATTAAAACCAGTTAGCTTAACTGTCAGCCCCAGCAGTCCATCATTTGGGTAACTGTGCTGGCTCATCATCTGTCAACAGGAAACTAAACACATAACAACACCTGTGGTCTGAAATCACATATTTTGGGATTCCCAAAAAAAGATCTCCTCCCACGTCAAAATGCAAGTCCAGCATTTTCAAATTTGTGCACTGTAAGTAGGTATTCTGGAAAAACACAGTTCTGAGGTGTGTAAAACACCTAAAGGCTAGTTCATGCTTTCTGCATTCACGTGTCTACAAGCTTATGTATCCACCTGAGTCCATGGATGTAGGATCCATGTGCTGCCGTTTTCAGAATCGACTTCAGGAAACTATTTGGATCGTACACTAAGGCAGCCCTGCTGGTGTTTATCAGTGCAATGATCCATTTCAATGATAGTTGTTGCTTCTTTACCTCCAAATATTCCACTAGACTAGACATTTGTACACGCACTAGGAAAGCAAACGGTGCTTAAAACAAATGCTTTTATGAGGAGAGACTGAACGAGAAAGTTCTCCATCATTCTTCTCGTAGTTTAATCGGAGCAGCTGGACTTGCTTGAGTTTCTTGAAGATGTTTCTCCTCTCATCCAAGAGTACTCCTCCGGACAGGACTGAGTAGTCCACCTGCATCTTAAGGACAGGGGACACTCTTCTGAAGACTATAATGTACAGATCTTGGCCAGAGAGGACAGATGGTTTGAGAGAGGGGTGAAAGAAACCATCTACGTCAAACTGGAAAGACCATCCCTCAACAGAGGTGAAGGTCTGAGGCATCACCTCTCACCTGTTTACAATTCAGTCCTAAGATCTCTCCCCAGGAAGATGAACCCACATCTTCCGGTCTTGACGTGTGGCGAGCACGGACAGACACGTCACAGGATTGCTGGAGATTTTAGAAAGTTCTAAATTCTCTACATATCCGTCATTATGATTAGTCCTGAAGCATGCAGAGCAAAACCGACGGACACGTCACAGGATTGCTAGAGATTTTAGAAAGTGCTAAGATCTCCAGAAATCCTTGTGTTATATGTCTCAATATGATCAGTGCTGAGGTGTGCCGAGCAAAATGGGCGGACGAAAACAGGATTTCTGGAGAATCTAGAACGTTCTCAAGTCTGTTCTTTTTTTTTTTAGCACACATTAGGAATCATCACATGGACATGGTTCTACTGCCGATCTGTCACTAGCTGCTATGTTTTGTAGAAGTGTCCCATGTGTTTTCCTGCGTTTGATATTCTGAGCAATCAGACCGTATTTATACTGTAATACGAACAGAACTGTGTCTGCATCTGCTGTTTGCTTTCTAAGTGCAAATCCAATATGCAGAACTCATGATGTGGCCTTAGACGTCAATTAAAGCATTTTAATTGGTTTAATCAAGACTGGATTAATAAAGATTCATTATTGTTGTTAGTATTAATTGCAGTTTCAACACTTAGCGAAATGAAACCTATATGAAAAAAGAAGGCCTCCACAGCTTTGATCCTCTTGTGTACAATTAAGTAAAATAACGTGTGGGATGCTCACTGACGCCAGAGAGGAGTGAAGGATTATGGGATATTGTATGTACTGAGGAGCTCATACATGTCAAACAGGCTACCAGTCGTCTCCTGTGTTTACTGTAATTATTTCATGGTGGCGCCATTAATTTGACGTGATGTGTTGACTTTTAACGACGGCGCAGCGAGCAGCCTGCGGTGAACTCCCCCCGATGTCCCGTGTTCCCTCCCCGAGGTCCTCCGTGCTGAACAGGAAGGCTGCAGTCTGCTCGTTGCTCTCCTTGTCATCTCTTCCTTCATCATGCCTGCATGCCGTCTTCTGTCTTCTGTCAGACTGCAGCGATGCGAACCCCCGCTCAGCCCTCCACTTGATTCTCCTCCCATTGTTCCTCTCCGTCTGTGAGGTTTTGGGGGCTCCGAGTGCGATCGAGTGTCCTTTTCCCTTCGTGTTTTTGCGGACACCGAGAGTAGAGCCATCATGGTTGAGTGTTTCATCCTCTGCAGCTGTTCCCATCCATCCTTCGTCTTTCTTTTCCAGCACTATTTTTTTTCTTTCCTGTTCTGCTGCTTCCACTCTCTCTTTCTTCAAGGACTCAAACAAGAAGTTCTTTTTCTTTCCCTTCTGTGGTGTATTAGCCTCTTTGCCTCCCACAGTTGCAGTCCCCAGACCATCAGCACGCCTAAGGCCCCTATTAATTACCACACAGTCCTTTTGTCATAACAAAACCGCCTCGGCTCTCTGTGGAGCTTTCCCTCAGGCAGCTTTTGTTGAGACCATGTTAGCCGTGTTCCTACCATCTCTCCGTGCCCTTGGGGGTCTCCTGTTATAATGCTTTTAACTTGTTTCCCATCCGGCCACGTTTTCCTTTTCTTTTCCTTTTTTTACGCCCCAAACTCTCGAGCTGCCTTCTGTCGTCAGCATCACAGCCGAGCCGCACATCTGTGTTTTTTTTTTTTTTCTGGTTTAGCTCCTTCCAAAATGGCCGCCCTTGTAACTCTGAACACGGCCGAGCGGAGGTCAGATTATCGCCGATCCGAGGCTCATTTCGGGGGGGATTCGGGCCGTCCCGCGCCCACTTTCAGATCAATAAACAAGCTTATAGTTGCTGCACAGAGGACTGTATGATTTCAGAGGATGTGGCTGCTCCCAGCGGAGTTTCTATTTTTTGCTGTCGGCTATGTGCACTTGATCGGGGTAAATGCATCCATTATTGGTGGTAAATGGAGTTTATTGGAATTTCATGGCTCAGAGAGTATTAATAAATGTTAATGAAGTGTGGTATAAGTTAATGATTGCCTCCGTTGTGAAGCTGTGATCTCGCCACCTGTGTGTGCGACTGTGGAGGGAGTGAGTGTGTGTGTGTGTGTGTGTGTGTGTGTGTGTGTGTGTGTGTGGTTTCTACACAAAGCAGCTTTCACACAGTGTGGATATGACAATGAGGACGGAGCTTAAATGTAAATGTAAAGAGGAGGACAACTGATGCTGCGTTTTTGAGGCTGCTGCCAACAGTATTATTTTAGAATTTCAAATTTATCTGGAAGAAAAAGACGTTATGAAGGTTTGTCTTCCATCTGGCAAAATTATAGAGTTTTATTTTAGCTTAGCCTAGCTTAGCTTAGCTTAGCTTATCCAAACTTCTAACATCAAATATTCTTATGAGTTTACAATAGTCAAATTCAGTCCAATTTCTTTTTTGTGGTATTTGGCAAAATAATTTCCTTGGAGATGAATAATGTTTTGTCTTGTTTTATCTGAGCTTATGGTTATAACATTAAATATTTTTGATGATGAAATTAGGATTATCGAGTTCAGTGTAATTTTGTTTTCTAATATCTGGCAAAAGAAAATAAAGATCAAATTATTCTGGATTAAGAAAGTTATACCATAAAAAGTTTATGATTATGAAATTGGGATTATCATATTGAATGTAATTTCTTTTTCAATATCTGGCAAAAGAAATGCCTTCAGGATTAATAAGGTTTTTTCTGAGCTTAATTTAGCTTAGCTTAATTTATCTTAGATTAGTTTATCACATCAAACGTTTCTGATTATAAAATTAGGATTATCGAGTTAAGATTTCTAGTGAATTTTATTTGAGGTTTATTCTTAAACTTTAGCTATTTCTATTTTGTTTTCTATTTTTGTTTGTGTCTTCTTGTTATTGATTTTTAAAAATTTTTAATTTTAAAAAAGGGTCCAAATTTATCAGTTTTTCTTTGAAGTTATTGCAAATTCTTGTTAGCAGTTATGAGAACTTGCCTTTAGGGTTCCCCATTAAAAACTGAAAGTGAAAATGAATAATTTTGAACATTATTATCATTATTAAAAATAAAAAAAATCTAGAAATATTTAAAATTCATCATCATTACGAATGCATCATTAACATTCAGTGTCTTCACTTGTTTATGTTCATTTCCAGCCAGAAGACACCGTTTTGTGAAGTAAAAATTCACAATAAATCACATTTTTGGGCTTCACTGTGTTACTAGACTCCTGACGTGGATTTTTTTAGCAGAACTGTGACCATGATGTGTAATAGAGACATTTTACAGTGTAAATCTAAACATTTCAGTGTTCTGTGGCCGACAAACTGTGTGATGCATCCATATTACATCTGCAGCGATCAGTCAGATTCTAATTTGGAGAAAATAAATGTGCAGCAGAGAAATTTATCAATCAAAGACACAGAGAGTTTTTAATTAGGATTTAATTATGGCATAAACGCTTGAATTAACTGGATGTTTCTTCTTAAACTTGCAGATGCTCGTAGGACTCCAGAAAAGTTCTTTTAAAAAATACACATATATATATATATATTTGTTAAATATTTGGAAAAAGTTTGTGCTGTCTTTAGAACAGACCTCACAGTGTGATTGACGCGTCTCTCTGCACACACTGCATCTGTTTTTTTTTTTTTTGTTCCCTTCTCGTTTCGAAGTGCATTGATTTCTTTTCTGCTCTGAGCTTTTTCTTAGCAGACGTTTTGACATGTCACAGGAGGGAAAGCATGGGTGTAAAAACTGAAATTACTTACTGGTACACTTGAATAGAGCAGAGCCATTGTTAGTGTTGTCAGGAACACCTGGACCTTTCCGCCTGTGACAAGTCGAAATTTCTGCTCATTTTGACCCGTTGCGCACAATTACCGAGACCGCACTGTTAGTGAACGGTGTGCGGTCGGGACACCGTTAGAGTGGATCAGAATCAGCTAAACCCATTAACACTGAGACTTGTGCTTTTTTTTTTATTTTGTGGACTAAATGATTGACTGATTATGAAAAGAAAAACCATCCAGCGGGTATGAAAGGCATGTAATCTTTGAAAAATCCCCAAATGACACCATTTGTTTGAGTCAGAAATGTGATTTTCAGCTTTCAAATACTCACCAAACTAATCATCTACTGTTCCCTCAGAAAATGTGACCAAATCCAAGCTTGATAGTTTACCAAAATCAGTTTATTCTACATGTCTTGTTTAAAAATTTGCCAAAAACGATCCATTTACAAAAGCTAGATTCTGTAAAAACATTCTTTCCTCCTGACAACAACCTTGAAGCCATTGAGTTTTCAGCTGAACTGCAGGCTGTGTTTTTGCAGAGCAGATGTGAAACAAGTATGGCGACAAATTAAAAATCTAACCTGTAAACTATCTACAGTATGTAGAGCCACCATCTTTATTTCCAGTATTGGAAACATCTGCAGCAGCAACTTGGAAAAATGTTGCGCGTGTTGGTTCCAGGTTTTTTTTACATCTCATTTAAAAATTTGTCAAAAAACTGAAAAAGTCAGCACTGTGTTGCACAGTCAGAAAGACGTTAGTGACTCTAAAATGCTGCTAAAATTCAGGGACTACAGGCAGCGTTTACACTGACCAGCATAGAAACTAGGGATGCACGATACATCGGCGACCACATCTGTATCGGTCCGATGAACAAAAGTAGCCGATGTGAAAAACCGATGATTGTCGAACATCAGCGCCTTCGTCTCTACATTTGATATCGCTGCTGTTTCACAGATGGTTTTACTTAAATGATCCTGGACTTTAAATATGTTTCGCTTTTGTTACGTAATAAAGACGACTATGTGGTCTTATTTAGGCTAGTTTTCTCACAGTGCTTCCTCATACTAGTTTTTCGGTGGGAACGAAAATTGAATATCGACATCGGTATAAATAACCCAAAAGTGTAATTTTTATTCCTAAGAATATTTATGCCATTATACGTTTGACAATTTTGAGTTCTCTCTACTTCTAGTCATGGTTGTTCTGTTTCCATAGAGGTGTAGGATTTTATATTCCAGAGAAAAAACTAACCTACAGTGAGTGAAAATGTGACAGTGAGCAAAAGCGCCCAGTAAGCGTTTGGGAGTTTTGTGGGTTAATTAGATTATTTTCGCCCATTTTCAATTATTGTGATCTGAAAAAGTGGCACAGCTCAGCGTATGCAGGTCACACAAGAAGAAACACACCAGACCCATGTTTTATGACCTAACAGCGCTTGATGTGTGTGTGTTTGCTGCAGGTCTGGCGGTGGCCAGCGCGCTGGTCGACGTGTCCCAGCAGATGTGCGTCGGCTACAAGGAGAAGTCCGGCGGTTTGCGGAACCGGAAGCAGCAGCCGACGGCGCAGCCCTCCACCTGCATCTGACCACGCCCCCTCCGCCCTCCTCCCGTCCTCCTCCACCGACCTCCCCCAAACACCCAGCGCCCTCCCATCAGCCTCCCCCCCGCCTCGGCCCCCTCCCTCAGAGACTGGCAGGGAGCGGTGCATGCTGGGACGCAGGACTGGAACATTCAGGCGAGGGGCCGAGTCGCCGGGCGGACTGAAGCCCCAGCGGCCTCCCCCTCCCTCCCTCTCCTCCTAGCAGAACTGAGTGACAGAACCTGGAGAGAGGGGGGAGCGACGGACGGAGGGAGGGAGCAGGCGCCGACTCCTCCGCCTCCCCCTCCAACAGACATTTTACATTCGTCGACACCGCCTCGGTAGAGTCGAGGCGGCCACGGCTTGCTGCTAGAAGACATTCTTTGTGTCATAGTTTTTGAAAAATCCAGAGACTTTGCAACCGTTTTTATTTAAGTTATTGTTGTTGTTTTTCTTTTTGTATTGTTTTGGGGGTTTTTTTTGAAGGCAGGAACAAACTGGACAGCTGCACACACACACACACACTTCCAAAACAACAAAAACAGCAACTTTTCCAGGCCTCTCGCACCCGTTTCGTCGCCGCCGTCTCCTTCGGGGCTGCTGTGGCCGGAGTCCTGTACGGTTTGGCCTCAGAGCACACTAACAGCATGTTCAGTCTTCCTTTCATGAGGATCCGCTGCAGGAGGCTCCCGTCTACGGCGATGTTTCCAATCGACCTCTTCTGGAGCCTCCTCCTCCGTCTGGCCGCCCAGTTCGAAACAGAAACGTCTCGCCCGTGCTGCCGGTTCGCTCGATCGCCAGAAGCTTTTTCCGGCTAATTACAGCTACAGTGAAAGTCAGCGAGCACACAGGTGAAGCAGCTGGTGGTCACAAAAGCCTCTCCGGTGTTCAACACTTGTCCCTTTGGCTTCTTATGGATCGTCTGATTGACTGAAGTGATTAGGCTCATGCGCAGAGAAAGGGGGCGGGGTGGGGGTCCGGCTCTGTAATTGTCACCTAAGAAATCCATAGCCTCTAATTACCGCTCCCTGAATGCAACGCATGCGTCACCGAGAGCGTTCGATTGTCCCTGAACTATCCGCGGCCGCCCAATTAGCCCCCTGCAGCGGCGACGTTCCTCAACGTAGTCGGCAGCCGTCGGTTTCCTCAAATCATCTGAGAGAAAACCTCAACCGTTAACTCTGGTGCCAAAAACAGACGAGAGAGGAAACTCAATTTTTCCACAGATTCACTCCTGAAGGTATCTCCTTTTTCCATCTGCTCGGCCCTTATCTGACATCGCTGCTCCGGTTTTTTTTTTTTTGTGCTTATTTTTACGTCATGAGAGAAAACCCACCAGAAAACTCGGAGCTTTTGAAATGTCAGAGCTGCTCCTGTAAGAGCGTCGTCACATCTTCAGCGACGTCTCACATTCGTCCACGTCGGCCATCTTTGTCCGTGTTCGACTGAAAGGCAGAAAACACGCGTTCCCGCCGCCTCACGAGGTTATTAACTCGCCGCCCTCCGAGAAGTGCAGTAATAGAACAATTTAATAACTCGCATTCTGGCCCTAAAGAGCTCGTCGTGTTTGGTTCCAGGTTCCCACTTGTGCTCGGCGTACTATAACTGCTCGGCGGCTGGTTAAAGGGCACACTTTTTGCACTGGGAAAAGGTCAGAGCAGAAAGCATGAACACAGTTGACATTCTGTAATTATAGAGAGAGGCGGCGTTAAGAACTCGGAGGAATCGAAGCACCTCGCTCGCTCTTATCAGGTGCTTCTTTTTCTTTCTTTTCTTTTTTTAAATATTTGCTCTTTCGACCGCCGGAGTAACTTTTAGGGCTTTTGATGTTTCACTTTATCGCTTCTTGCAAAAAAAGCTCCAAGGTGGGAAGTAATTGTCGGTTCATCAGCTGAATGTCAGCAAATTAAACTTTTCTACTGACGCTGCTGCTGCTGCTCTTCTTTACCTTTACCTGTGATGGTTAAATATTGTTAAAGGGGCCATTAGATTCCCAAAAAACTTGTCTAGGGGTCGACCAATGTGTTGTTGGTCTTCAAGGGCGCCGAAAACTTGGTGTCAAAATTTGGGAAAACTCAAACAGAAAACTGAATTAAATTTTTATTTTTCAAATGTCGAATTAAAGGAGAACTTTTCAGCGTTTATTATTTAGACATGTGACCCAAAAAAAGCACATTTTTTAAAAAACAAATCTTACTTTTAAATACTTGATTGGAAAAATGCAAAATACCAACTTCGATAATCGATCTGGCTCCTGAACAGTTTGAAAAATATCAGCATGTGTGGCTTTACAAAGGCAACGATAATCGTTTTTTCCAGCAGAAATGAGACCAACTCCACCGACTCGAGGAAGAGTACTTTGCAAAGAGGCCAGAAGTAAAAAGAAAAACTAAACTGAAGTACGAGGCGAACTGGTGAAGCTTCATTCATGAGATTCATCCTGAAAAACTTTTCTTTTCTGACTGGAGTTAAATTCACTTTGTAAAGATCCTGAAAGTTTAAAAAACTTGGAGAATCAGTGAAGCTTCATTCATGAGATTCGGCTCAAAAAGTCCGACTTTACAACAACCTGAAGTAAAACTAAATAAATAAAAATGCAACCCTGAGCTGATTAAGGGGGAAAAAAAAAAAGAAGCAAGAAAGTCCGACTTCAGACGTGACACCAGAACTCTGCAGCATCAGCATCTCGCACATTTGATTTCCTCCAACTTTTTCATTCCCTGCAGCGGACCGGCTCCCGTTTAACGCTCGCGGTTCAATCGGCTCGTCGACAAAACCCATAACCGTCTTCATCGGCGCTGCTTTTTATTTTTTGTCTCTGAAGCTCTGTGAGTCTGATGGGAGCGTACTGTAGTCATAACTCACACGGAGGGAAGATTGTGTTGTTGCTTTTTTTTTTCTTTTTCTTTTTCTTTCTCTAAATGAATGTAAAATGAAAAATCTGTCTGTGCAGCCAAGGTAAATCTGTCAACATTGTAACCGTCTCTGGGTCGAAGCGAAACGCCGCAAAGAAGGGTCCGGTTCTGCTCGGTGGCTCGGAAAAACACATCCAGGGTCCTGAGATCGTCTTGAAGATAATCTCAGATGTTTATTTTTTACCTCTGTGGGTTAATTAGTTCCACACACCTTTATTTCGGTTCTCCCTCGTGGGCCGGCTTCACCCAGTTCTGGAGCGACTGAGCGGCTCGGTTTGACCCAGATCTGTGGCGAGTCGCTGGTCTTGTCAAACAAAAAAACAAAGCGATTAGGGAAATTTGTGAGAAATATTGCAGTTGCAACATTGATCCGGCACATTTCACCTCCGGTCCACCCACGCGGGCCTTTTCATTTATTTTTCGCTGATTAGACGTCTTCTCGGGACGGCGTGGGCGTGGGCGGCCCGTGATGGAGTGTCCTGTTGCACCTGGAGCCGCGTGACCTAAAATCACCACAGAAACCTCGTCCCATTATCGCTGCTGCGGGTTTCCTCGCTGCGTGATGCTTTTCCTCGTGACACGTTCATAATTGCGGCCTGATTTAATGGGATCAGTTTGACCCGCGCTCACGCTAGCAGCAGATTTAGCTCCACGCAACCTGAAAAGACGTCAAATCAGCCGCATTAAAAAAAAAACAGTTTATTCTGCTGCACTGTTGTTTTCCTGCTTGGCCAACCCGTGATGGGCTCCTCCTCCCTGATGGTGGAAAGTAAAACGCTGATTTCAGCCTCGTTTTATCGCAGCGACGTTAAAGGTGGCCCCTTGGAGTTTCTGTTTACGATCACTTAAATGCATCGTGTGCACCTTTAAGGCCTAACAAACATTTATCATGCATTTTATTCCTCACAAAGTTATTTTTTTTAACTGATTTAAAGGTCCATATTGGGCCTCTTTTCAAATTAATTCAAGTCTCACATTTGCCTAAAATGTGGTTCCAGCTTTTCAGCTCAAAATACCACAAAAATGCTTCATTTCAGTTCATAAACCGGCTGCTCAAGCTGACTGCAGGAAGTAAACTCCCTCTGCGTCTGTGTTTGACGTAACAGTTGAGCCAACAGCAGCCAACAAAGACGTGAATCAGTTTTGCATCACTTCTAACTTTCTCCCTAAACCATCATCCGACGTAGAAATATCGACAAATTCACCCCACGGCTGCTGGTTTCAACTGTCAGATGATGTTCAGGTTATAAAATCTGCATTTTAGCTGCAGATTAGCAGCTTGTAAACCAAGTGACTGTTAATGTTAACATGTAGGGTTGGTTTTTAGTCACGATTTCATGTTCATTCCTTCGTCTGGCAGCAGAAACAGAAAGATATGCAAATAAAAACGTCTTTATTGGGAAGCACAGAGAGCAGGAGACAAGTCCATAAACAGCGGCTGAATCCAACTAGTGCTTGTTTATTGGTTTCAATTTAAAGTTTCCACCATCTCTGAATATCTCTTACCTGTGGGCCATCAAAGCTAATGCTAATGATAGCCACATTAGCCACACAATGCGCTAACACTAAAGATTTTCCTCATTGTTGTGGTGATGTTGCCATCAAAAATGAAAACAATCCACTGAGCGTTGAGTTCCTCAGATGCTGGGAGTGTATGGAGACTCTTGCATTCACTCTTGCAGCCAATGACGGAACATTTGCTAAGCTAACGGCTAAGAGAAAGGAAATGAACCAACCACAAACCACAATAAAAATACATTTCCACCATATGAAATCACTAAAGCATGCTTTTTTTTTTTTTTTTACATTGTTATTATTATAGTTTACATTCGTCTTCTTCTCCCATTTCTTGGCACATCGCTCCATCTGTTGACTCATTACTGCCACCTGTAGGTCAGGGAAGTAGTGGCAGGAATGTGCGTTGACAAGATCGTAAAAATGTCAAAACTCCACAGGGCACTTTTAAACCGCTGTAGATAAAACACTGAATATTTCTCATGTTAATTTTTCCACTAGATGACCAGTGGGAGGCTTTTATTGTGAAGCAGCTGCTGGAAAGTTAGCTTGTCAAGTTAGCGGAGCTTTGTTAGCATTTGCTTTATGCAGCCGAACAGGGAAACAGCAGGTTGCGGATCTCT